GCGGATAGCCTTTGTAACAAAAGGCCACCCATCTTCTCCTCTCGGGGGGGACGTCAGGAGACTACCTGTCTCCTCCTTCCGAGCCGGCATGCCAAGCGAACACTGCCCCGCCTCGCCCCGCCTCGCCCCGCCCGGCTGCAGCTCGAGCTCCACACTGGCTCGTTACGGACGTAATCACAAGTTACTCGAATGCGACTGTTTGGCCCCCACAGGCACCGCATCTCCTCTCGCTTTATGAGGTGGACCAGGCCAGGTCGGGCCAGGTGGAGAGCGCGCCGCCAGCCACACGCCGATGATCCCTCCCCCCCCCCTCTTCTCCCCGCACCACACACGCTACACTGCGCGAAAAAAGGGAAGAAATAACACGCGATGCTTGTATTTGTATTGACCTTATTTCGTCCAGGAAGTGCATTATACTCAAAGCAAGGGCGGTAAAGATATCGGGCCGCGGTTGGCGATAACCCCGCGGCGCGCTATCACGCGCGCTTTTATGGTCCTGATGGGCGCGGGGCTGAGTCACTAATGGGGGGAGGTGGAGACCAGACGCCGTCGGTCGCACCACAGCACAACATGTCATTTCATTTTCCTCCATCTGGGCCACGGCAAGGCTGTTCAGGCCAGACTGACTCGGGTGAAAAGTAATTTACAGGGTGGGCGTTGGTGTTCCGTTCCAAGCTTTACTTTTCTCGGGGTATATGTGCTGTCTTTTATGCTATACTGCATGCAGGCGTGCGGGCCGGCTTGCCTACCGACCCCCACTGCCCCCACCACGGCGCCTTACAGCCCCGTGCGAGTATGCAACCCGTCCGCACGTCTGCATCCTGTACAGTATAACCTGCTGATAAAAAGTATGGTTCAGAACACCAACACCTATCCTGTTATATTCCGAGTCCCAGAAGCACGAAAAACCCACGAAACGGGTCAGAGCAGCAAATGTCACTTCAACGTCCAGGACAAAAGTTGACCTTTACATTGAATGTTGTTTGTTAGTTCTCGGACAAGCACCACACCGCGCATCACTTACGAACAGTGTATGGTTGGTATGGCAAATGTTTAACACTCGCTGTTTGGTCGGCTTGGCTGGGTTGGCCGTCGCCTGCAGGACGTCTGCGACTTTGCTTGGCCCATACAGAGTGTCGCGGGCCAGAGGCGGGCAAGGCCGGTGGAGGCCGGACCGGGCGTAAGATCCAGGATATACAGACCGTACGGGCCGGCGCTCTCCGGACGGGACGGACTGGTGTGGACGCTACGGGGGGAACAAAGAAAGAGAAAGAACGAACGAAAGAAAGAAAATGTCGCTCGCCCGACTCTAGACCCGAGTCTTCATCTTGTGCCCCCCGCCGTAGTTCAGTTTTATGCACCGCACGACAAAATGAATGACGGCGAGCGAGGCGAGCGTCTTTCTTTGGCTGCCTAGAGGCGGGCCGGGACGGCCTCGGCGCCCCGCTCGGGGAGAATGGGTTTTTGACCCAGAACGTAGCGTTTTAGGTCCGTTGGTATATGGCCTGTCAAGTTTGACAGGGGCATGGTTATGGGCTAGGGCTCGCCCTTAAAAGTTGCATGTGTGGCACCAACGTCCAATAAAAATGCAGACTCTTCCAATAATCTCTGCTGCTCTGCTCCTGTGTTAATGTAGCAGCCAGAGAAAGTGAAAGAAACTACTTGTAGTACTGACGCACCTCTGGAAAGGTTGCGTACCACGACAACGGCATTTGATTTGAACCGTGTGGCCAGTGTTGCCAGAAAAGTGGGCAGTACGTCTCCCAAACAACCCAAACACACAATTGTAGAGGTGGCTGCATCAACGCCTGCGCGCTAGGCAACCTCTTCTCATGCGTGTGTAAATGTTGCCTAGTACGTAGGCAGCTCCACACCGGTGTGTTTGGGTCACTTTTGCCTAGTACTTTTCTAGCAACACTGCGCGTGGCTGTCTTTCTGCGCGTGGTGGAGCCGTTTGGGCCCGGCGGGACCTGTCGCCAAAGACGTGCCCGTCCCCGCCGCCGCATAGTCAGTAGTAGTATAGTGCGCAGTGCTGTGCGTGGCCTGGCCTTGCCGCGCCCGCCGCCGCACACCGGGACGCGCCGGGACGCGGGCCTTGCGGTGGCGGCGCCGCGACGTCGCCACGAGACGACGACGCGACGCTTTGGCGTCGTTTTGCTTGAGCCGGCGGCGGCGGGCGCGCCGTGCCGCGCCCAGTATGCGATTGTCATTCCTGCGTTCCATAATGTAGACACAGGTGTGTGCATAATTCGCGCGCGGCGGCCCCGGTCAGCGTCAGCGTCCCTCCCCGTCACCCCGCCGCCCCA